ATATATGTATATATATATATATATATATATTCATAGTTAATCTCCTTATTATATATAATTAATATATGCTAAAAAACAGCCAATGTAATAGACTAGATTTGTAAATGAGAGTCTCTTAAGTGTGGTATATTACATCGATCCTTTTTTTTATTTTGTTAGCACTTATATTAACCGTACATAATTATGGGCTTCATTATGACCCGTTCATATATACATATCATCTATTTTGCTCATATTCACTCCTCGTTGCCCTTCCTGGTCCTCCAGCCATTCCTCTTCCCACTAGCACACTTCTAACTCGCGTGTCTTTCTTAGGTGTGAGTTTACTTAAGGTTCCTTACAGGAGAATCAATGAGGAGTGAGGTTGTAGGAACATGGAAAACGTACCAGAGGCTGCACACCACCAACCACCACGTAAGAAAATGCCTCTCCCTCCCCCAGGAACCATAAACTTCCTGTAAATCCTCAGAAGGGGCGGGGCCTCCTGAGCCCCTCCCCTCTCCAAAGTAGAATGCGGCGGGGCCGATCGTGTGCAGGTTTTGTGTAGTAATCACAGCTGTTGAAAGTTCCCGAGCAGCCACTGACACGCCCAGAAGACACACGCCACGACACTCTGACTCTTTGTCCGGCTCTTGCCTCCCTTCTGCTCTGCCTCTCTTCCCAGGATGTTCCTTGAACCTTGGAGGCTGGGATATAGATGGTCCATTTAGGAATGGACACTCAACTGTCCTGTCGCTATTCTCGTCCCTTTGGCCAGTGTCTCTGCAGTAACCACCACCCCACTGCATAGAGAAGCTTCTCTGACCAGGGCCGAAAGCCGCGCTAATCTACCCGGTACAAGCAAACCTATCCAGAATGCAGTTTGATAGGTACATCATGTTCATTCAGGAAAACAGTAAGTGCAGCCTCTCTCCACTTGGCCCCCGTGACCTCCCTGACTTTTGAGCCTGGGTCACATTATCAGCTCTGAAGTCCTCCTGCAGACCAGGCCTCAGATCGAAACAGGTGGTGGTTGGTTGTCCCCACAAGGTCATTACTGCAGGATCTACAGCTGATAAGACTGGCTGACAATTCTCTTGGTGACAATTCTCCTAGAAGCCTGTACAGCACCTTCCGGCACCTTGAACGCTGGTCAACAGGAGGAAGCTTCCAGGTCACTTGGTAAATGGCACCAGAATTTTTTTCCTTTTTCCTTCCCTCTTTCTTTCTTTCTTTCTTTCTTTCTTTCTTTCTTTCTTTCTTTCTTTCTTTCTTTCTTTCTTTCTTTCTTTCTCTCTTTCTCTCTCTTTCTTTCTTTCTTTCTTTCTTTCTCTTTCTGTATATATTTATATTTTTTTACATCTCAGCTGAAGTATCACCCTCCCTCCTCTCTGCCCCCCCTCCCCATCACTCCTCCTCTCTTCCTATTCAGAAAAGAGCAGGTCTCCCGTGGGTATCAACAAAGCATGACATATCAAGTTGCAGTAAGACTAAGCACCTCCCCTTGTATTAAGGCTGGGCCAGGCGACCCAGGATGAGGAGTAAAGTCCCAAAAGCCAGCAAAAGAGTCAGAGGCAGCCCCCGCTCCCACTGTTAGGAGTCCCACAAGAAGATCAAGCTACACAACTGTAACATATATGCAGAGGGCCTACGTCAGTTCCATGCAGGCTCCCTGGTTGCCAGTTCAGTCTCTGTGAGCCCAGGTTAGTTGATTCTGTGGGTTTTCTTGTGATGTCCTTGACCCCTCTGGCTCCTACAATCCTTTCTCACCCTCTTCAGCAAATTCCCCAAGCTCTGCCTAATGTTTGCCTGTGGGTCTGCATCTGCTCCCATCAGTTGCTGGATGAAGCCTCTCTGATGACGATTGGTCTAGGCACCCATCTATGAGTATACAGAATATCATTAGGCATCATTTCATTGACTTGTTTCTTTGCCAGCTGTGTTTGGGTCTATCCTGGGTCTCTGTGCCATCCAGCCTTAGCACCAGATATTTTGTGGACTACACCGGCTTCTTAATCTTTTTCTATTTGCAACCCCTGAGAAATTTTTATGCAACCATGAGTATATAAGTAAATGAAATAGGTTTACAAATCAAACTTTTACTAATAAATCATAAAGATTCTTATTTTAAAACAGTTCTTTGTTAGGCATACAGTTTTATCATTCATTAAAGATGAAAGAACAATCTTGTATGCAAATGTGATGGGTGTGCATGCTTGAGTCTACATAAAGAATTAAATCTTGGCTAAATAGTTGATGTTGTGGAATACAGGTTTTCAGATTTTCTTTGTTAAAACCCTCAGCCAGGGGTTTTTGATGGGTTTACAACACCAGGCATGGGGAGCCCCTCCTGTAGAGTAAGCCTCAAACCCAACCAGATAGCAGCTGGTTACCCCCATAAGAGGCGTTGCACTTCTGTACCAACGGTACCTCTTGCCCGGCAGATGGCTATTCTGAATCACAGAGTTCACAGTTGCATAAAAACATTGATGACGTTCCTCCTCCAGCAGCCTGCAGAGCAGGGTCCTACCTAGCAGGGAAGCAGCTTCCAGCCCAGTCCAGATTTATTTCTCTGGATCTTGCAACCAAAGTGTGTGGTCTCTCCAGAGATAGGGTCTTGCCATTTCATTCTGATGGGCAATCAAGAGGAATGGAAAGGTTCATCCCTCTGGGGTCTCCTTGACCAAACAGCTCATAAGGACGTAACCTACACCTAGCTCTGGGATTTTTGTTTAGTAACCCATGGCTTCTAGAAGCAGTGTTAGCCAGCCATGTAGGATACCTCCCTTTAAAATCTTTTTTTTTAATGTATTTTTTAACTGACTTACAAAGTAATAAATTTCTATGTGAATTTTTCACACACCCTTCATTTTGGTTAACCCTCTCCTCCCCACCACCCCATCTCCCCTATCTACCCCCCCACACACACACTTTATATCATCAGTATCTTCCCATGCACTTCCACAGCTTCTCTCTACTCTTGCCTGTGTTTTAAGACATCCCCCTAAGGGTCTCTCTAGCTCCCCGGCCTCTGTAGCTATCCCAAGTTAAACACACAAATGTGAAATTTTGAAGTTATGATTTAATGAGAGAGAAGATGTGATGTTTGCCTTATAGGGCCAAGGTTACCTCACTGGGTGTAAGCGCGTCCAATCCTAGCCATTTTCCTGCAAACTTCTAAATCCCATCATGTATATTACCACATTTTCATTACCTATTCGTCACTTCACGGACAACCAGGCTGACCCGTTTCCCAGCTGTTGTGACTAGAGAAGAAATGAACATAGATGAGCAGGTATCTCTGAAGTGGGATAGAGATAGAGGCCTTTGCCTGGGAGTGGTATGGCTGGGTCATATGGTAATTCTGTTGTAGTCCTGAGAAACCTCCACACTGGTTTCCAGAATGCCTGCACTAGTTCACACTCTCACCAACAACAGTTCACACTCTCACCAACAGTTCACACTCACCAACAACAGTTCACACCCTCACCAAAAACAGTTCACACCATCACCAACAACAGTTCACACTCTCACCAACAGTTCACACTCTCACCAACAGTTCACACCCTCACCAAAAACAGTTCACACCCTCACCAACGACAGTTCACACCTTCACCAACAATAGTTCACACTCTCACCAACAGCTCACACCCTTCCCAACAACAGTTCACACTCTCACCAACAACAGTTCACACTCTCACCAATAAAGAATAAAATCTCCTCTTTCCCCTCATTCTCTCCAGCATTGGTCATCATTTGAGTCCTTAATGATGCTCATCCTGATGAGAGCGAGCTGGAATTGCAAAGTAGTTTTAGTTTACATTTACCCCTAGGGGTAACTTTTTAAAACATTAATTAGCCATTTATTTGTATGTCTTTTTTTTTTTTTTTTTTTTTGAGAACTCTGTTCAGACCGACAGCCCATTTTTTTAACTGGGTTGTTTGTTTGTTTTAGAGATGCCTAGTTCACAGATCTTGGAAGCATTCTTTCCTTCGCCATGTTGTGAAATAATTCAAGAAGCACTAGCTAGCCAGGCAGTGGTGGCGCACGCCTTTAATCCCAGCACTCGGGAGGCAGAGGCAGGCGGATCTCTGTGAGTTCGAGGCCAGCCTGG